GTCAAGGGGCGGTGATCAGATTCTCTCTTACTGATGATGGTCATAGCCTGGTGCGAATGTCACTTGCCACTTGCCACTTGTCAGCCCAATATCTTCAGGTTTGGCTTCTTTTGCAAACCTTAAGCCTTCAGTCATCAAGGCTTCCTTGCCTCAATTGGATTGGATCCTATTTATGAGGCAGACAGATCAATCTTAAAGCACGAGGCCCTGTAAAGAATCCCAACATGTATACTGATCAGTGAAGGCAAGCTTCCATTACACCCAAGGTCTGTGCTAACTAGATATCTGTTCGAGGGAGAATTGAAGTACAATACATCTTATCATCTGTTACTCTTCCCAAGTCTGTTCAAATCCACTACCAGGATTAAGTGACATGATTTTTGCAATTGTAACTTGGAGGTGGTATTTGTGCAAAACCTTAGAATACGAACAAAATACACAACGCAAAAGCTGACAAAACAGCCTCGTGCACACAGCTGCAATGCCCACCACCCAAAACCTTTTCCAGTTTACTGCTTGGCAAGAGGTTACCCTGCAGAAACTTTAAATAGAAAACACCTACCTTTTCAGTGGGTTTTTCAGGACAGGCATCAGGCTTCTTAGACCAACAGTTAGATCACATCCACAATTTAGAAAAGCAAGGATTTAAAGGGAAAAAAATGCAGGAATTGCTGGAAAAACTCAACAGATTTGGCAGCATCTATGGAGTAAAATCAGAGTTAACGCTTTGGGTCCAGTGACTGCTAGAACGCCATCAGAGCTCCACAGCAGGCATTGCTGCCTTACAGCATGCAACCCCAAAATCTTGGTTCCAGACCAACACTTTGGGAAGTCCTGAACTACAAGATTCGCTGCAACAATTCATCTCGGTTCTTTCAGCAGCACCTTTTAATCTATAACCACTAACATATAGGAGTAGCAAGAACAGAATGTAAGGGAAAAAATACCATGTGCAAGTTGCCCGCCAAAATCACACAATACCCGGACTTGGAAATATTCCTTAATTATTTCTGGGTCAAAAACCTGGAACTCAACCTAAAATCACAGGATGCATACCTACACATTGACTGCAGAAGCTTATAAATGCCACTCTGCACCTTCTTCTCAACAGTGATTAGTGGTGCATGATAAACGTTGGTTTTGCCAACAATGTTCATATCCTGTAAACAACTAAAAGATAAAATTCCCAGGGTCTTTTAGGTGATTTACAAAACCTGCAAACAGTTATTAATGATTGTCTATAGAACAGTCAAAGACCAGATTATGAAACACAAATGTTTCAACTATGTTTCCAGTTCCTCAATATCCAAGTTAACCAAATTGTGTCGTAAAGCTTTACACCTTTGCATTTTGGTGGATCATTGATTTGTACAGCATCTGGAAAGTGGAACAGTCTTTCTGCACCAATCAATGAATAACCATTATCACAAGAATAGTTTGCTACCATTCCTGGTTCCCACTGATCTCCAGAAGGTGGTGATGAAACTGTCCCATTATTAATAAATGGAAGGTCACATGAGACAACTAGAGAAAAATGAAATAGTTGATGTCTTAAGCAGACTGCCAAATGAAAACATTAGGTTCGGCGATTAAAGTCTTTGACTTCAGGCGTGGCAGATGGGTGACTTAACCCACCTTACTGATCCGAGCTGTGATGATGCAGACTCCAAGAAAACTTAACACATTATTTAACTCCTAATATTTACAATTCAACAAATATGTTTCCTCTACCACTCCAAAAATTTAGCCGATTGACAAAAATTAAAATATAATCAGTAAAATTTGGGATATGATGTTTCAGTGAATTTTCCACAGTCATTTAGCACAGAAATAGAAGTCAATCACCCAAAGAATTTAGTTCCTAACGTACCTTTACATGTTGGGACTTGGCCATCCCAACCATCAGCTTTACACAACCGGTAGTTCCTACCCACCATCTGGTATCTAGATAAAACAGAACAGATTAGTTTGGAATAACCAAAGCAACGCTCACTAATTACTGGATTATGAGTTTTCCTATGAAATGCAATATTCTGTTCAGGAACGAAAGCTAATGATTTTAGCAGATACAAGTCATGACATGAATATAATTGGAAACAATAAAGCAAACAAAATATTAACTGAGGAACAGAACACAAAGCTAGAAACTTCCTTATGAAATTTATGTTGGGGTATAATGTGCAGTTCTACTCAGTTGGTCCTAGGAAGGATATTGGTGTAATTTCAGTTAACGTGCTCTCACTTTAAATCAAAAGCTTTGATGAATCAGCAGGAAGCTTTTAACATTATTCCAATTTACACAACTACAAATTAAAAATCTCCCCTTTGAAGTACTATCTGGAAATCCAACTGACAGATGTATGAACAACTGCAACCCTAATGTTCACATCATAAACTTTCTATAATTAGCAACTGAGCAGCTTCTGTTCTGTTCTCTCCAATTGCATCTTCCTGTCTGTTCGCCAATGTTAATGTTGTTGGCAATATATTATCAACTCCCATGTGCTCCTAATATGCACAATAAAACTTTTATATGGCACCTTATCAAATACTTTTTGGACTAGTTATACCCTTAAAAAATTGTAATAGATTTGTCAAGCATAATTCCCCATGTTTAAAACTATGCTGGGTGTCTGATCATGCGATGACTTTAATTCAGAATAAAACAGAACTTCCTTTACAATGGATTGCAGGTTTCCCAAATGCTGGTATTAGGCTTACTGAACTGTGGTTTTTAGCATGTACACTTCCCCTCTATCCTTTTCCTGAAATGTGCTATGACATTTGCCAACCACCAACTCATTAGGGGTATTCTAGAAGCTAGAGTTTTTTTTGAAAATATGACTAATGCAAATTATCTCTGCAAATACCTCTTTCAGGTTGTAAACCAGTAGGTCCTGGAGATCTGTCAGGTTTTCAGTTCCATAAGTTTCTCTAATACTTCTTTTACCTGCTATTAATTTTGTTAAGTCACTCACATCGGTCCTTCATTTACCCCTAAATTCTGGGATATGATCTGAATCTCCTACACTGAATACTTAATGTGTGTTCAGTTCCTTATTCCCCATAATAATTCTTAACATTGTGCAACTAAGGGATAACTGATAATTTTAACTACTCTTCTATTTTATACAATTCTAAAAGATGTCACCCAGTTTTGGAGCTTCTGTGAAATACTGCTCCAGAATTTGCTGCCAAAATAACAGACAGACTGAACCAATAGCACAAAAATTTCGAATCAGCACAGGCAGATGACAATTTGCTTTGTTTTGCTGTCCATGATTTTACTGCTGAATGAGTTTAAAACAAAATTATTGCATGTTCCGGTACTTAATATTTCAAGTACTCAAGAATGTGGTCTGTGTTCCTACAATGCCACTCAATATCTTTGTGTCTCAAAGGAAACAAAAGGAAGCTGTGGCATCTCATCCAGCACAACGCTCAAGCAGCTTGACACGATTCAGGACAAAGCAGCTCGCTTAACTGGCACTAAATCTACAAGCATTCACTCCCTCCACCATCAACACTCTGTAGCAGCAGTCTGTACTATCTACAAGATGCTCTGCAGAAATTCACCGAAGATCCTCAGGCAGTGCCTTCCAAACCCATGACCGCTTCCATCTAGAAAGACAAGGACAGCAGATATATGGTAACATCATCATCTTCAAGCTTTCCTCCAAGACACTCACCATCCTGAATTGGAAACGTATTGCCTTTTGTTCATTATCGCTGGGTCAAGATCCTGGAATTCTCTCCCTAATGGCATTGTGGATCAGGCCACAGCAGGTAGACTGCAACAGTTCAAGAAGGCAGCTCACCGCCACCTTCTCAAGGGCAACTAGGGACAGGCAATAAGTGCCAGCTGGGCAGCGATGCCCACATCCCAGAAATTAATAAATAAAAATATAGCAACTTTTGTTTTTTTTTTATATTTTACATTACTTCCATATTTTCCTGATTAAATCTAGAATTTATTTTTCTCTTAACTTCTCTTTCATTATCTAACTTGACTATTCCATTCTATTTCCTTCTCCACTTTTAATTCATTGTTAATCTCATACTTCATTGTTGATCCAAATATTGATCAAAGTCACAAGTGCTCTTTTGTCCTTTCCATATTACTATCAGAATGCACTTCCTGCAACTTAATGTGCAAAAAGTTTGAGCTGAGAGTTGAGAGACAGAAAATCGCACTACCAGGACATATTGTCAGATTCCCACATCAGGAAATTTTGGGTCATCAGTTTTTTGATAACATCCTCATACAGTTTCATCTTAATCAATTCTACTTCACTCAAAAAATGGGTATGCCAGAAACTCACCCTTTGTTACAATAAAAAGTAGCTTTCGTTTCAAAAGATGTATTTTGGATCTCATAATATCCATTCAATATATCTCCTGGATTTCCACAGTTCCTTGCTACACAGGGCGGAAAAAAAGAAAGCAGTAAAAGTATTGGAAAGAAAAATAATACATGTTTTCAGCAAAGCTGTGAAATTTTTCAGTATTGGATCCACACAATTTTATCAGTACAACTATAACAAGATTTTGGTTAAGGCAAAGACGATGGCAAGGCATACTGGCATGTTTAATTTTCGCTACCTATGCTGCATCTTGCAAGAAAAGTGCTTCTAATCATAGAATCCCTACAGTTTAAAAGCAGACCATTTGGCCCATCAGGCCCACACTGACCTTCCAAAGACTATCCCACCCAGACCCATTCCTCTATCCTATCACTGTAATCCTGCTTTTACCATGGCTAATCCACCTGGTTTGTACACTATGGGCAATTTAGCATGGCCAATCCACCTGACCTGCACACCTTTGGACAATGGGAGGAAACTGCAGCACCTGGAGGAAACCCACACAGACACTGGGAGAATATGCAAAGGTGGAATTGAGCCTGGGATCCTGGCGCTGTAAGGCAGCTACGCTAACTACTGAACCACCATGCCGTCCTATCACTATCACTGTGCCACAAAACCTCTCTGGATCTGCTCTTTTTAAAACAATAATCATTTAATAAAAACAGGTACAATACAAAGAGATAAACACAAAGCTTCAAGTGAGAATGATATTCAATATCCTTAACCAAAGCAAAATTCAAAGGATTAAAAACTCATTCGAATTGTTACTTCACATGGTTTATACTCGTTGCAAGGTTATTCACTTAAAAATTACATTATGTAGGAAGAAAAAAGACCCAAGTTTTAAAACAGAGACGATACTTTACACAAGTCTGGTTCTGCTTTATTTTTAATTTTTTCAAGTTTTTTAAACCTACTTTTCTAATCAACCTATTCAGGAATGTTATTATACACCTCTGGAACAGGTGGGAGTTGATCGTGGGCCTCCTGGCTGAAAGGCGGGGATAGACCACTGCACCACAACAGCCCTTTACGTAAAGCTAACGTGATGACCATTACACCACAGAAAGTGAAGCCCACTGCACCGGCTGTTCCCAGGTGGGCTCCCATCCATGTACTAAACAGTCCTTTGTCTGCTTAGCATCTAAGATCATATGAGATCAAGTGTTTTCAAACTAGTATGACCATAGGCAAAGCGTTAAAGTCTTGGGTGGAAGCCAGCAGACTATTTTAATTTAACCGATTTTTCTGATCAACTTGTTCAGAAATGTTATTACCCACCTCTAGAACAGGTGAGATTCGAACCTGGGCCTCCAGTTCCAGGGGTAGAAAGCCTACCACTGTGCCAGTGATAAAGGGACCAGGTGATGAGTTCCAGCTGGGCAAGCCATTGCCTGTAACCAATGGAACTCATATTCAACCAGCTTCACAGAGGAATTAATTGGTGATTCCCAACAGACCTTGTAAAGGGTTATCACACTAAACATCTCTCCATGATATTCACTGGGTTTATTATCCCCAAATCCCCCACTATCAACATGCTGGGGGTTACTATTGATCAGAAACTGAACTAATTGAGCTACGTGCACAATGTGGCCACAAGGGAAGGTTAGAGGCCAGGTTTCCACTGCAAGTAATTCATCTCTCAACTTCCCAAAAACTGATTGCCATGCATAAAGAACAAGACAGGAATGTGATGCAAAGCTATCCACTTGCCTGGGGTGCAACTCCAACAACATTCAAGAGCTTTGATAGCACAAGGGACAAAGCAGCCTGCTTAACTGGAACCCTGTTTACCAACTTCAAGATTCAATGGCTTCACCATCATTGTTCAATTGCAGCAGCGAGTATGATTTACTAGATGCACTACAACAATTCACCGAGGCTCCTTCAACATGCATTCCAAACCCGCAACCTCTATCAGCCAGAAAGACAAGAACTGCAGATGCATGGGAGCATCATCACCTAAAAGTTTTGTCCAAGTGGTACATCATCTTGACTTGGAACTATATTGGCATTCTGTCACCTTTGCTGGGTCAAAATTCATGAACTCGCTACCCGATAGCATTGTGGATATACCTACATAGTGGAGGAACTGAACCTTTGTAGATGTGATGACAATTACAACACTTTTGTCCTGGATGGTGTCAAGCTGGGGTGTCACTGGAATTGCATTCATCTAGGCAAGTGGGAAATATTTCATCGTACTCCTTACTTGTGTCTTTTTAGTGATGGATAGATTTTGGAGAGTCAAGAGTGACGTTGCTCGTTGTAGAAACCTAGTCTTTGACCTGCTCTTCTGGGTAAGTATATGGCTAATAGGGAAGGCAATGGCCTAATGGTATTATTATCGCTGGACTGTTAATCCAGAGACCCAGATAACATTCTGGGGACCAGGGTTTGAATCCCGTCACGGCAGACGGTAGAATTTGAATTCAACAAAATATCTGGAATTAAGAATCTAATGATGACCATGAATCCATTGTTGGTTGTCAGAAAAACCCACTTGGTTCACTAATGCGCTTTAGGGAAGGAAACTGCCATCCTTACCTGGTCAAGCCTACATGTGACTACAACAGCAGGACAAATTGGAGGGAACACAGCAGTGAAGACAACAGATTTCAGAAATTTCATACATAATTGAACCAGATGGGTTCACACAATAATTGGCAATAGACATCATTAGATTTTTAATCACAGATCATTTCAATTCAAATTCCACCACCTGCTCAGTGGGATTTGAGCCTGCATTCATAGAAAAATTACCTAGGATTACTCATCCAGTGATATTACTACTTCGCCATAACCTTTTCTTTAACTGCTGCATTCAATCTGATTTACTGTGTTGTTAGTAAGGGAGTTTCAGGCTTTCAAATCAGCAATGGTGAAGAAATAGTGATGTAGCTTCGAGTTTAAATGTCATGCGGTTTGTAAGAGAACCATATGTCTTTGTAAAAGAAAATTCACAGAATTTTCAAAGCCAACATTTGTTGCTCATCCCTAATTACCGGTGCCTGCTGTTCATGTTCCTCTAAGGTGATAGATATCATAAGATTTGACAAACTACTACAGTGCAGTCAGGTGGTGTTGGACTCACTTGCCAACCAATCAGCACTCTCCTCTTATGTGGAATAAGGACTGGCTTTCCCTTTGATTTAGTACTCTCATGAGTTGTCCTAATGAATGCAAGAAGCATGCCCTTTTTCAACAATACTCAAAATGTTAAAACCTGACATTATACAGGTGATTGTCACATAACATTAAAATTTAATAATGTCAACCAAGAAATAAACCGCCTCAAATATCTATAACTTACCAAACTTGAAGGAAATAGAGAAATATTTATTTCTATCCTCAATTTGTAAGTAATTACTTATGTTTGTAGTAGGTTGCCTTGGTATCAAGTGTCATGTTCTTTACATTCAATCACACTCTTGCCAATAATTTCAAAACCATTGCTATAGATATAGCTGATAACCCTACCTTATTTGGCCATTTGCAGGCACTTCAGATGATTACAAATAAAAAAGCAAAACAAAAAGCAAGAAAGGTTATGCATAATCTCTTCAGCTGTTTTAGGATATTGCCAGAAAGTGTATTTGTACCGTAACTAATTACTGGTTCCATTCTATTAAGTGGGCTTTCTGGAAATTAGATGGTAAAAAATATTTGGTGCTTTTTTTTAAAGCACTGATCAAAGTTCTGCATGAATTCATCTACAAGATGGACTTTACTAGTGTTCATCTTCATTTGTGCATTGGAATTCAGGATCAACTTTTCACTTTGATTAGCATTTTCACTACAATTGTCATGTATTTGAATCAGTATTAACTACAAATTAGGTATTATAGCAAACGTTTTATTGACCCGCACCTATGGGACCAGGAGTATGCCAGTGAATCAAATATTCCAGTTGATCAAGAGGTCCACATGATCAATGTAAAAATCCTCACTAAGTAATAGAAATGTAATGCTGTATACAGGTATACACATTACTATTATAGTTTATTTACAGCATAAACCACTTATAAAACAATGCAACTTTGCCTTAAATAAAACTTAACAGCAAAGAGCCTTCTCATTTGCACCCTCAACTGATTACGCAGAATTTGTAGAGATCATGATAATACAGTAAACTTCCAGTATCTCAGATACATAATTTTTGCTGGTTTATCAAGACTGCCAGTTCATAATCTGCCTGTTGAAACAAAGTTTGCTTTGTAATTCTAAATTTCTGGAGAAGAGTCACATTAGGCTCAAAATTAACATTTTTTCTTTCCTCCACAGATGCTGCCAGGCTTACTGAGCTTCTCCAGCATTTTGTTTTTATCACAAATTAGATTTTTTTTTTTTTTTTTAAAACAGAAAACAACTTTTCAAGATTCTTGGATAATTTCAGACACAAGATGTGGCCAATGTAGTACATACCAGAGGAAAAGTGACTTTTGATGTACAGTTTCCAAAATTCAGAGATGTGATGATTAGTCAATACCTCTAATATTACTGTATCATGAGTCTACCAGAATGGTACAAGGTAAACCTAATGCACTTTGATTCTTTGTTTTTCTTAAGCCATTCCTGTATTCATATGTTAATTATGGTGCATACTGGTTTATTGTGAAGTAGTAAGACTGGATCTGTTACACATTGCTGCAATATATCAGAGTAGCTCTGAAATTGATGGCCATTAGCTGATGTAGAAGAGATTTTTAAAAATTCTGATAGAGAACAAAGGACTAGAGAACTTTTCAATCTCTTTTTGTTAATAGTAATTAAGACTTTTTATCTGCAAATGCAATCAGTCTTTGCCGCTTGAGCAATTACAGTACACCCTTTATGAATTCTTCAAGAAAATTTATCTGCAATACTACTAAATATAGCTCCTGCCCTCTGGAATACCTTCTGGACAGTGGAAATTAGAAGATCAATACACTCTATACTTTGTTAAGGTCTTGTTAAAGGCCAAGCAACATACAGTGACTGGGTTATGATTACATGATTATCATTTCTAGTGTTTTTTACGGTGTTCAATTTTCATTCACATCAGGAATTCTCTAGTCTATTTCTTGAGCAGTTGATATTGGTAAATTCAAATGTCAGTTGATTAACTCCCTTTTGAAGATATCAATTTGGGATTCAATAAGTTACTTCAAATGTGATGTGGAAGTTACAATCTACTTAGAAGCAAAAGAGTACAGTTTGACCAATGGCTCCCAAAGCCCTCCACCAGTGGAGTTTTCATCATATTATTTCCAATTCATTGTTATTAATTCTATGATTAGTCAACATCTCAATTATTATTATATCGTAAGTCAACCAAACAGTTGATTATGAACCAGATGCACTTTAGTATTTTTTTGGCTGGCTAGTTTGGTGTTCCTATGTTAATCATGGAGCATATTGCACAGGCTTACTGCTTAAATGCCTTCACTTATTAACCAACCTGTGAACTTAATCGGTGATAGCTGGCAGATTTGACTCGTGGTGACAAAATAGGTTTACTGTGAACAAGTGAGACCTGCACCTCACACACTACTACTGTACAATTCTTTCTGGAGCAGACTGTCAACAGCATTAATTCTCTTATGTGAAGACAGAAAAATACCTTTTCACAGATGACAAAAAGGCTTTATATTTTGAACCATTTTCACTCAGAGGTAATTGTATTTGCAAAGTGTTCTGGTCTCTATATTTTTAATAGTTAAGCATTTTTAGCCAATCTTGCAGTACTTTAAAAGAACAGAAGGCACTAAATTTCATTTATTTATAATCTTCACAGGAGTAAAGAGGACCAAAAATACAGCACATCAACATCAACAGGGAAAAATACACCCTACATACTTTCATAGACCTGAGAGAATGTTCACTCTACTAACCATTTATTTAAAATCTTCACAGGAGTGAAGAGGACCAAAGTACAGGATTTTATTCTCAATTCAAGGAATATTTACTTACGTTTGCAGATAGGTGGTGCTGGTACAAATGTATTGTTGTCTTTACATTCAAGCACATGCTTGCCAACCATCTCAAAACCTTCATTACAGACATAGCTGATGGTCTCTTGATATTTATATGTGGGTCCCAGTCCTTCTTTTATGTTGCCATTTGCAGGCAGTTCAGGACGTTGACATTCAACAACTGCCAAAAATCACAATGCATTAGGATGTACTAGATAAATGACTGATCTTACAATACTACCGGAAATGTTACCTGTATCACAAATGAGTACAATATCTATGCAATAAAAGAGATGTGTGGAAATAGGATTAAAAAACATTGTGCTTTTTAAGCCTTGTTGTTAAATACCAATCAATATATAGTGAATGTCTTTTTACAAATTCCCAGTTCTTTTTTGAGCACAATAAAATTTAGGATTCTCTTTTCATTTAGAACAGCATTTTTTCCCTTGGCTTCTCTTGAGATAATCTTAACTGTGACTTATGTTAGGTTAATGGATTGAGCTTGTCTGGACCAGATTTGTCCTACTTGTGCTATTTTTACTGTCTTTCAATACAAACTAATCTTTCATAGATCAAGTTGTATTCTATAAAATAACCACTCTAAGCTAACTCTAAGTTCACTCAAGTCATAAAATACTTCTTTAACTCCACCACCTAGGGTCTTTTATGTTATTAATCTAACCATAATCCAACTGAGTTAATATTACACCACTTAATAAATGGCAGAATGGTGAATTATATCAATCTTGATAACGTTTTAAAAAAATTAAAAAAGGTCAAGATTTTCTATTCTAACAATTTTACAAAGCTTCATAGTTGTGAAAACAAAGTTGTTTTAGCAGCATATTTAACTGCTCAAGCCTTGTACTTTAAATTACCAAGATGACCAAGCAAAAATATTATTGTCATTTCACCTCCCTGTTTGATGATATGATTCTGCAGAATATCATGCCTTAGAATGGACAATATTTTCCCAATCTATCCAGATGATGGCATTTTGTCTGCACTTGGAAGGTGAACAACTGAATAAAATAAACCTCGTTAAACAGTTTACGCACTTCCACTTATCTCAAATGAGCGTGGTTGGTTTAGAAAGAGACAAAATTATCCCAAACTCCAGCTTTGCCATACGTTACTGTCATATTCTGATTTAGCAACAAGGTAATGTATAACATACAAACGTATTTAGAAAATCAAGTTGTTGGAAAATACAGAAAGTCATCTAACTTAACCAGTGATAGGAAAACTGCTAAATTTGACATGCAGAATAGATTCAGACTGAAAACCTCTATAATCCTGGTCTAGGTCACCAAATTTAAGCTTCAATCTGGCTGGAGATCAGTAACCATTTTGTTTACTTGACAAAGCAACACTTATTAACAGAACAGATCACAACAGTCCATGATTTTGAACAAACAACAACAAACTTACTGTACAGAGATAGTAGGAACTGCCGATGCTGGAGAATCTGAGATAACAAGGTGTAGAGCTGG